ATGCTCATAACTGTGCCTGATCTACAACAGGGAACTGCTGCTTTTTCTTTCCTAATCCTTACTATTGTAATTTTTCCCTACTTCTTTTGTATGTTTGTCACACTCTTGTGACTTGCTATTTCCGGGGTGCCTTGATAGTCGAAGCAGACCTTGTGCTGTCGAAGCTAGAGAGGTGAGCAGAGTAAGTCTGATTCCCTGTAAGGACTTCTCTGTTGACACCCACCTCTTGGCGCTCATATGACCTTATGCAGTTGCGAGCACCGTAAAACCGTCTACTATAAAAAAAATAATAATTTTTAAGCAGCCGGCCCTGGAATGATCTCAACCTGTGTCAGTTGTAGGCATGAAACATTTAAGGTTGTGATTATTTATCCTACTGGATCACGTACCTTCTTGCACTTACGCTCCAATGTTTGCTGCAGCCACGCCTTGGGACTGCTTCCCCCTTCCTTGTAACGTTTTTCCCTCGTCTGAATGACTACAACAACTGCAGTGTGGAGACTGTCTACAACCCTGAGCGTGGTTATTTCTCGAAACTGAGACCTCTCCTGGACTACTTTTTTTTTTAAGTTCCAGGAGATTTGCACGCCAGAAAGAGACTTCACCTCGAATAATTTCCTGCTGCTGTACAAAGTAGTCCTCGGCAATTTTGAAGAAATAAAAGTTCATTGACTTTTTAAACTTTTCGAAGTGTGTGGTCACTATTCATGCCATTCGAATTTCGTGTACGAATGTTGTTTGTTTTTTCTTATATATAAGTCCATCCGCAACTTCTGCAATTCAACGTTCACTGACAATTTGCAGCTGTCCTCACAGAGCATGCGATGTGCCGACTCGCTCTCTGTACTATACAATGATGTCACATCACCATTTCAAAAAGGGGAAGGGGAGCTCATTACAACAGCCTACTGTTCATTTCTTGAAAAAAACATCCGCTACGCTGATGCCCTTGAGCTGTTCATGTTGTGACCAATGAATACTGAATAGTAGTGAATAGTTCTGAGAGGCATGTTTTATAACTCTTGTTAGCTTCACTCATCACTTTGTCTCATAATCATCAAGTGCAAAGTGTGTGTGTGTGTGTGCTGGGAAATTTTCTTCTTCTTCTTCTTCTTCTCCTCCTCCTCCTCCTCCTCCTCCTCCTCTAAATGAACATCTATCCAAGTCGGCGACATTACTGAGTCAGGCCACCTGTTACCTTGTGCTTCTTTTGATGGCATCCCTGATGTGTTGAGCCTCACAGGAGCCTAAACACTTTCAAGTGTGTCATCAAAAGCTGTGATCTCGACAGCCGCACAGAAAGGGCTACACCCTACATAACAGTGTGATGGAATTATCCATGCTCGTTGTATCAGAGTGTGACGAGATTGCAAGGACATACTCACCAACACATGGATCCTGATTTTTTCATAAGCTTGCACACCGCCATCAAAATTTCTTATTTACAGCTTTTTACAACTTGAAAAGAAGTTGATTTTTTCTGAAAAATACCTACGATCACTGTGCCTTTTCAAACTACCCCTTTGGCATTTATCTGTGCCAACCATTGATAAAAGTCTTGAGAAAAGCACAACAAAAACTCTACAGAGTAATATGCTCACCAAAAAGCATACAATCAGTCTATTGATGAATGTCCTGATGGAGCCAATATTTTCGCGAATGGATTTTTAAAAAAATGACACCTCAGCTGCCCTAGCAGAAACAAATAACTGAAGCCTAAGAAAGCTCTGTTTTGAAGCCTCAGTCTACTTTTCTGGTGTAACTGCACTCGAAATGGCTTTGGGCATGGTAGAAAAGTTCCCCCTAAACTTCCTTCCTGATTGTTTGTTTTCGACTTCCTCTCCTGTTTGAAGCTGTAGGAGCACTTTGACGTCTCCGTCTGTCAAGAGAATTTTGAAACTCCTCATAAACACTGCCATCACAAGGCTCATATAGTAAAAACCCTTGCCATCAAAGGCAAAGGCATTTTGGGGGAAATCCAAAGAAACTGGGTGGTAAACTTTGCCTATCGGCAAGATGTGACGCCAAAGTGTTCAAGTACATTCTGTAAATCAAACTGGTAAAACCTGTGCTTTTGTTTATCTTCTTAGCCATGTCTGTTAGTGGCAATGAGACTATTCGCAGCTACGCCAAAAAGTCTTTCAAACTTCCTGACAACAAAAGCAGTAAAATTCCCTTTTTCTGACGCTGAACACAAAATCAAAAAAGCAAATTTATTCATCTACCTGAGCCAAAATTTGGGAACAGCAAATTAACAAGGATACTCCGCAGCATTTTGAAGGTTACGCCCAGGAAACCAATGACCTTTTAACGAATAGGCAGGCAGAGTTATTTTTAAGTCGTTTAAAATCTTGGACACATGCATGTCATGCATAGACATCTCATTGAAGGGAAAAAAAATCTATTTTTTGCAAAGCATGCTTAATGTTTTTTGCTGTTAACACGTTGTAATAGAATGTGCCAAATTTGAAGAAAGGAGTATAAGTATAAAATATTTTTAATGTACCAACATGGATGTTCTTTGGCGCAAGAAAGGTTGGGGTTGTTTTTGTTTGTTTTGTTTTGTTTTTTGCTTGTTTTGGGGGGGGGGGGGGGGGGATTGGTTTAGACAAAAAAAGTGTGCGTTGTTGTAAAATATTGTGAAAAAGTGAACATTATAAACTTGCTTACAGATTTTTATAATTGTCTGTCTATTATTTTAGGCAGCAGTAAGGAAAGTCGATTTAAAAAAAAAATTTTTATTGCACTCATATTACCAAATTGTATCAATAGGGCCTTAAAACACGTACTCATACTACCAAAAACAGTGTATACACTGTATATTATGCAGATAAAAGTAACGCTATTGTCTCAAATCTGATTTGCGTGTGTAGGTGACATTGACGAGGACAGTGCCTCTGACAAATGCGACGGCGACGAGAACTCAGCTTCTCCGTCGGATACAGCAACAACAACAACATCAACAAAAACAACAACAGCAGCAACAACAACATCAGAAGAGGCTGGGGAGACACGGGTGAGTAACGCCGCCGGGGAGGACAGCCAAGATCAAGGTCAGGATCAAGGTCAGCCCCCAGCTTCGGTAGACAGCGCAGCTCCGGCCAGGGATGGCCCTGAGGAGCAGGCACGCCTGGTAGAGCGTGAGCACAGGTATCTGGTACACCGAACCACCTGCATCATATGCCAGGAGCGGACCATCAGCTGCATCTTCATGCCATGCGGCCACGTGGTCGCCTGCGAGGACTGCGCGGAGAACGCCTCCACCTGCCCTATTTGTAATCGGGAGATAGTGGCCACGGCCAATGTGTACCTCTCTTAGAACTCGGCAGGACACCACCTCCCCCCACCCCCCAACCACCAACAACCACACCCCCAAATACGTGGTGAACAAACAAGCATGGGGATTCGTGTCTCGTGCTGTGAGTCTATCACCTGAGTATCAAGGGACAGAGCTAGGAGTTTGATACGACTCTTAAGTCCCCCATCTTAGTGTTTTGACTTTAGCATGTGGTGGGCGTTGATAACACTTTGCAATACGTTAATTTTTTCACATCTTCTTTTTGGAGAAGTGAAGAAAAGGTTGTCACTGCATAAACAATAGAGTGGATTCTTCTGAAAAACCTTGATTAAAGGCACAAAAGATGTAAATTTTCAGTTACCACGGACTCATAAGCTAAGGAAATAACTAATCTTTGGCGGCCATTTTCTCACTAATTTTACATCTGAAAACAAGTGACCCCCACCTCCTTCTTTCGCAAATATCTTGACTTGTATTCAAGATAAATGGATATTTTTTAATCGAAATAAAGACAAGTGAACAAGCTTTAAGATGATACCAATAACTCTACATGCCTAAAAATTGACGAGAGCCTGATTCCACCACGCTGCCTCACATTTGTTATCGAAGGTCATCCCCGGTTTTGTCGGTTTGTGCCACCGTGGTAGCTTTTGCCCCTCCCTTTGAGGAAAATCTGACTAGCCCCCCCCCCCCCCCCCCCCCCGACCAAATCGACCGAACTGTCCTGAACGGACCCGATCCTGCCAATGGTCACGGCTTATTAGTAGTCTGTTGTTGGCTAGGGCAGCAATCACACGCACTGCTCGGGCGATCCGTAAGCTCAGTAAGTATCCAGCTGGACTACAAAGTGTCTTACCCTGGTTCGAAGCCCAGCCTGGGCGTTCTTGAGCTGCTTTTTGGATTGTTTTGCTGAGTTTTCAGGGCTCTCCGTCCATTTTCCTCGGTCCTTTTGGAGATGTATGTTAAACTTTGAGATCTTACCTCTGGAATAACTTAATAGTGTTTGTAGGGGGTGTAAAACCCATGCACACATACTATTCATTGCTGCAGCAGTACTCTGTAGCTCTTATGTTCAGGAAGTGATAACCTTTTTCTTCACTTTAAGAAAAAAAAAGAAGAGAAAAGACTCGTGTATTGCAAAGTTGTATTGGCGCCCACCACATGTTAATGTATGAGTTGATTAGTTGAAATTTCTGTGATCTTGCTCTGTCCCTTGCTATCCTGGTGGAAGATTTGGTCTGCCTCTTTTAGTACTGCCCGTGTGGAGACATGCTTGTAGATGGCTCACTGTTTTGTGTCAGGCCTCCTTATAGTTTTGTTTATTATATAATTAGATTTTTGCACTTTGAGGCGAATGTTCATTGTACTACTGATGACCGTAATGATCATGATTCTTTTTTTTTATGAGCAAAGTTCTGAACACATTTCGTAACAAGCGGTTTATTTCAATGACCCACGCAGATGTGTTCATATGTATTTTTTATGTCCAGTATTCTTGAAGTAGCCAATCTACAGAGAATTGTATTGAATATTCACTAAATATTAATCCGTAATTTCTTTAGAAGCTTGTGGTGTAATTATTATTTTTTCAATATTGTCCTTGAAAATTTGGGTTAAGATAGAGTACCCAAAAGACCTATTGTGTATTTCTTGTGGTGACAGCCTGTGTTTGACTGTTGCACAAGTAATGTTGTACATAGTTCTCCTGCTCAGAACTTGAAACATGCGTTCATACCTGCAGCAGCATTCCTCAAGCGTCTTAATCATTTTTTAAGTTTTGAGAAAAATTAGACAAAAGGAGTACCCAACCTTAACTTGGGCACTCGTTATTTTTCAGTAAAAAGCCAGGAAGGAAATAACGACACAGTACTAAACGACATTATTGTAAGATAATCCTGGATGTCTTTACCTGTCCATAAAGGCTATATCTGGAAACTCTCCCTTCAGAGATTGATTAAGGCAGTTGTGGAATGATGCTGATAATATTTTCTCGGTGAACGTAGCTTGTCTCTGAATTGAATTACAAGCCACAGTAACGTGTGTAAAACTACTGTTCTGCCAGCTCATCTTGTGGGTGTATTATTTTTCAGTACCACCTCGAATTCTCCCCATCTTATGTGATGGAGTTATTAATTTGTTATTACATATGTATTGAAGAGAATATCTATTTCAAGCTTTGGGTTTGCTTTGATTACTGGTCGCATCATTATCCTGTGAGATGGCGAATTTGTATTTTTGTTGTGGTATATTATTTTACTGTATTCTACTTTGACAGCAGTTTAATTGCCCCTTTCCTCTTGGTGCTGGGTATAAGCTGTCACCAAGAAGCCCCCTTTACCTGTCTCTGTTCTGGGTGGTCTTCTCTATGACTGTTCTGGGTGATCTTCTCTATGACTGTTCTAGGTGATCTTCTCTGTGACTGTTCTGGGTGATCTTCTCTGTGACTGTTCTGGGTGATCTTCTCTATGACTGTTCTGGGTGATCTTCTCTATGACTGTTCTGGGTGATCTTCTCTGTGACAGCAATTTGCTGTGTATAATTGTTCAGTGTCGGGCAGAATTTTTTCTCCCTAACTGTTGCATTTTTTTTAATAATATTATGTTACTCACATCTTTCTGTATTGTTGTTTGCATTATATATATATATATATATATATATATATATATATATATATATATATATATATATATATATATATATGAGGCAGCGTGGTGGAATCAGGCTCTCGTCAAAATAATTAAAGGGAAGAAACCTGCATTTTTCCGCAGGTTTGTGAACTTTAATCAATTTTTTTATTTTTGGCTCAACACCTCCCCCCCCCCCCCCCCCCCCCCAAATAGACCCACCTCTTCGTGGTGGGGGGGGGATTAGTACTCTTCGTATAGGGAAAGAAAAAGAGGAAGCTAACGGGTCAAGGGGTGGTCCCGAAAAGAGACATATTACTTTACTATGTTTCTTATTCTTTCTATTTATTGTTTTTATTGTTTTACTTTATTACATTTATTAACTTTTCTTTTCTCCTCTCTCCATCGACAACCTTTCTTTGACCTGGAGTTGGGTCGGGTATTGGTGGGGTGGAAAGCAGAGGTTCATTGTCAGCACTGTACTGGATGTGACTTTACGGAGGGAATACCCAGCTACATACATGTATTAAGCATGCACTTATCGGAGAGCCCTATGACTGCAGAGAAGGTGCAGAGACCATTTGCGTCTTGCTTGTTAACAACATTAATCCTCTGGGATCTGCCATGTCTTCCCCTGCCCCCATCTCTCGGATGAGAGGACTTGGTTGCTCTGGGAGGAGGGGGGGGGGAATCTAGCTTCCAATTGGTATCATTATTACTATTGGTATTATTATTATATTATTATTTTTGTATTTCAGCAACACACAGCAACTATGCTCTTAATAGCGTCTTTCTCTTCTTTATCTCCTCAAACAACTTCTCAATATAATACAACAGACACCAATACCCATTCATTTTTCTTACAATCTCTCTGTGATGGAGTTGGGTTTTTGTTTGTGGCATTGCACCTACAGCCACTGCTTTATCTCCTACCCCGGGATGGAAGGAAAATCACAGAACCACCCGTTTTAGATGCAACAACACCTTTCATGCCCATTAAAGAACTCATTTGTGTGTGGATTTTTCTGAAACGTTGATAAAAGGCACAAAAAAAGGTAACTTTTCAGTTACCACGGACTCTTATGCTAATGAAACAACTAATCTTTGGCCATTTTCTCACTAATTTTACCTCTGAAAACAGGTGACCCCCACCTCCTTCATTCGCAAATATCTCAACTTGTATTCAAGATAAATGGATATTTTTTTCATCCAAATAAAAACAAGTGAACAAGCTTTAAGATGATACCAATAACTGTACATGGCCAAAACTTGATGAGAGCCTGACTCCACCACGCTGCCTCACACAAATATATCACTGAAAAGTTACCCTTTCTTCTGCCTTTTAGAAACGTTTCAGAAAAATCCACTCAGAAATGAGTTCTTTAATGGACATGAAAGGTGTTGAGCCAAAAAACAAAAATTTGATTAAAGTTCACAAACCTGCGGAAAAATGCAGGTTTCTTCCCTTTAATTATTTTGACGAGAGCCTGATTCCACCACGCTGCCTCACACACACATATATAAATACATTATATATATATAATGCAAACAACAATACAGAAAGATGTGAGTAACATAATATTATCCAAAAAAATGGAACAGTTAGGGAGAAAAAATTTTGCCCGACACTGAACAATTATACACAACAAATTACTGTCACAGAGAAGATCACCCAGAACAGTCATAGAGAAGACCACCCAGAACAGTCAAAGAGAAGATCACCCAGAACAGTCATATATATATATATATATATATGCTCGCATCATTTCTGAGTGTATATTTTCTGTTTATTTTTTGTAGACCTTATGCAGATGCAAGCGCCATAAAACTTTTACAAAACTAAACTTACTTTGTGTAATCCCATGCTTGACTATTCATAAGAATTCTGAGAATTGTTTTTGTACAGTTCACTTTTGATCATTCATTCAATAAGAATTTTTTCTTTCTTCTGTTGTTTTTTGTGTGTGTTGAAGTAAGAAAAAGAAACAGAGCTTTTTTTCCTTATATGTTGAGAAGTAAGGAAAGTGCGGTGTGGACTGCTATGATTAAGACTGCATAGTGAATGGAAAATTGTTTATGTTCTTATTCTTCGTGGGTCTGTTTTGACCTGTGAATAATATAATATTTTTCTTCATATTCACAACTCACAAGTTGCCCCTGCCATTGTTTTAAGAACTAATATATGGGACTGACGAGTTGTCGCATAAGAATACTCTCAGTATGTGGTTGGCAGGTGCTCTGGTGTGGTTTGCTTCTTCTTTCCTATATAAAACTATCATCCTTCTCTCTCCTCCTTCTTTTTTTGTGTATGTTACTCTCTGGTAACACCACTGATCTTCGGCACTTGTATGACCTTATTGTGTTGCAAGTGCCGTAAAACGTTCAGTTAAACAACAACATCATGCTCTAAGATGTAGACCATTGACTTGCTTGAAGATATCTTCAGTGTGTCAGATGTTCTGGAATGTTGCCACAAGTTTTAGAGGATTTTTTCTGTATAATAATAATAATAATTGCATTTATATAGCGCATATCCATGCTCAAGAGCATGGTCTATGCGCTTTACAACTATTATTACCCCAGCAGACCCTCTGAGAACCCTCAGAAACATTCTCGGCTTCCGCGGAA